AAGAGCAGCCTGAACCTGCTGATTTTCTCTGGATGTTCGGTGGTAGATTTTCTCTAGGACCTCTGCTGCGCCCACGAAGGTAGTGGCATTGTCACTGTACATGACAGCTGGAATACCCCGCCTTCCGGTGAATCTCTTGTAGGCTCCGATGAAGGCGTCCGTTGTCTGCCTGGTGACTAGCTCTAGGTGAACTGCTGATGTGGTGAAGCACACAAAAACTGCAATGTGCACTGACCCTGGTTGTGCATTCGTTGGTCTCCATTTGAGGATGGCGAATGGTCCTGCATAGTCCACCCCTGTGTGGAGAAATGCTCTTGCTGGTGAGATTCTCGTTGCTGGTAGTTGACCCATCTGTTGCTGGGCCTGTCTTCCTCGGTGTCTGGTGCAGATGGCACAGCGTTGAATATATGCTCTAACTGTGCCTCTGCCGCCGATTATCCAGTACCTTTGACGGGTATAGGCCAAGGTGAGTTGAGTTCCTCCGTGGAGTGTTTTGCGGTGAGCTTCTTCGATGACTAGTGTGGTGAGGCGTGATTGGCGAGGCAAGATTATTGGGTGAATTTCGTCTGGATTTAACTGCGAGTTCTTGAGGCGTCCCCCAAGTCTCATGATCCTTTCGTTGTCTAGTGTGGGTGTCAGCTTGGCTAGTTGATGATTTCTCGGTAGTTGGTGATTTCTCTGGAGTACTCGAATGGCTGGCCCAAAGTATTGATGTTGGGTTATCTTTACCCAAAATAACCTCGCGTCGTTGAGTTCTCTTGTTGTCAAGACAGGTCCCGGGGGCGTTGGCTGCCTCCTGAATCTGTCGATAGCTCTGTTGACCGTAGCTGTTACGGCTAGCAATTTAGCCATCGTCTGATATCTGTTGAGTAGCTCTGCAATTTCGTTGATTTTAATTGCAACTGGATGTGCTGGTGCTGGTTTTGCTTCTCTGGCCACTTCTGGGATGTCCATTGCTGGAGCGTCAATTGATGACTGTGGCCATTCTTCAGGATCCTGATTGATCCACTCAGGTCCTGACCACCACAGTTGATGATCTTCTAGCTGGCTCGGTGATATGCCTCTGGAGGCACAATCAGCTGGATTCTCCTTTCCACTGACATGTCTCCAGGTAGCATTCGGGAGAGTTTCCTGGATCTTGACGACCCTGTTGTGGACGAAGTCCTTCCATCTTGATGCGTGGCTCCTGATCCAAGCTAGTGCTACTGAAGAATCAGACCAGAGATAGGTGTCTACCTGGTCGAGTTGGAGCATTTTCTTCGTTGATGCCACTAGCTGAGTCAGTAGAAGAGCTGCTGTGAGCTCTAGTCGAGGGATGGTCATGCGCTTGAGTGGTGCTACCTTAGTCTTCGCGCATACCAGTACTGTTGATGTCGAGTCGTTGATGGTTTTGGTGCGAATATACACCACTGCACTCATGGCTACCGTTGAAGCGTCTGCAAATCCATGAATTTGGATGTTGAGTGTCTCTGTTGAAATTCTCAGCCATCTAGGTACAGTTACTCTGTCTAGGTTGTTGTGATTCTCTCGGAATGTCTTCCAGCGTTGAACATACTCATCTGGAAGAGGATCATCCCATTTTAGTTTCAATCTCCAAAGATCTTGTAGGAGAATCTTTCCCTGGACGACAACTGGTGCGATAAATCCCAGTGGCTCAACAATCTGGGCTATTTCTGAAGAGACTACTCTCTGGGTGATTGTCGTCGTATTGAAATCCTTTGATTTGTACCGGAATGTGTCGGTGGATTGATGCCAACACAATCCAAGTACCTTGGTGACTGACTCCTCGAACTGGATAATTTCTTCTTCAGTTGATAGGCCCAACTCATGCAGAGCCTCTGGACAATTGCTGCTCCACTTCTGTAGAGAGAAGCCTCCTGCATGGCAAAGCCCTTGTAGTTGCGTTGCGATCTCCTTGAGACCGTCTTCTGTTTCTGCACCGCCGTAAATGTCGTCAACGTAACGACCTCTGGTGAGTGTCTCTACTGCTGCTGGGAAGCGGTGCCCTTCATCTTCTGCTAGTTGTTGAAGAACACGTAACGACAACCATGGAGAGCAATTTAGTCCATAGGTGACTGTCGTTAACTGGTAGGTGACTGATTGTTGATTCTCGTCGATCCACAGGATTCTCTGAAGATCCCAGTCATCTTGGTGAACTCGTATTTGGCGGAACATCTTGACAATATCCGAGCCAAACACGAGCCTGTGCCTTCTCATCCAAGTCAGGATAACCATTGCATCGTTCTGTAATTTTCCACCAGAATACAGTATATCGTTAATTGACATACCTGATGAACTGGGGCTGGAGCCATTGAATACGACTCTCAGCTTCGTTGTGATGGCCTCCTCTCTCAGTACCCCGTGATGTGGTANCCTGCATGGCAAAGCCCTTGTAGTTGCGTTGCGATCTTCTTGAGACCGTCTTCTGTCTCTGCACCGCTGTAAATGTCATCAACGTAACGACCTCTGGTGAGTGTCTCTACTGTTGCTGGGAAGCGGTGCCCTTCATCTTCTGCTAGTTGTTGAAGAACACGTAACGACAACCATGGAGAACAATTCAGTCCATAGGTGACTGTCGTTAA